ATAATTCTATCCTCATATTACTAATTGTTTATCTTTTTAAAGAACTTTTCTAGTCTATTGAAAAAAATATTTTTTTTGTGTTGAGTGTTTAAAAAAATCGAACAAACACAGATCAACAATCATTTGGGGAGTTTACATCACTGTATGTCCCACACATCTCTCTGCTACTGACCACGTCATCATCTGAGAACTGTTAAAAGTTTTCAAGTTGTCCATCACACCACATCTCATCTCGACTACTCTCTCTCTCTCTTCCGTCCAAAATGTCCAACAACGATCTTCCAAAGGTGAGCAAATCAAAGTTTGTTGTCGGCAAGCACCACCCCTCAATGCAGAAGAACCGAGAAAACAGCGGCGCCGGTGGCAGTGGAACGGCCTTGACGGCTCGTCGCCAGCACAGCATCGACACGGTCGCCTCCAAGCTGAGCATGATGACCACCAAGGAGCTCCCCGCCCTCTCCACGGTCTCCACAAAAGGCAGTCAAGATCCGATGACCTTTCTGGAGTTCCGCGGCTACCACGTCGTCAAAGAGCTCGGAGCGGGAGGATTTGCCCAGTAAGTGGTTCTTCACTGGGAAAACCATCTCTTTCTCGTTCCCACTAATCCCTTCTCGTTTATCAGCATCTACAAAGGCCGCGCCAAGAAGGCCAGTCGGTCGATGGCCATCGGGCAGTCGGTAGCGATCAAGGTCTTTGATCTCACTGATGAGAGTAAACAGGGCTGGATCATCAACTGTCTCAAGCGGGAAATGCTCATAGCGAAGAACCTCCAACACAAGAACATCGTCACAACCTATGAGGTCTTTAAGACGCAGCGAAACGGCTTCATCGTCATGAAGCTGGCCGACGGCGGCGACCTCAGCGCAAAGATGATCAAACAGAATGAACCGTACAGTGAGGATGAGACACGCAAGTACTTTCGCCAGCTGATGGAAGGCCTGGCGTACATGCACTCACAGAACACTGCACATCGCGACTTGAAGCTGGAAAACTTTCTCCTCTTCCTCGAAGACGACCGACCGGTGATCAGCGACTTTGGTACGTACTGCTCACAGCTATCTAGCCATGATGACACCACCTTCTCACACTTTCACTTCTCCACTTTAGGCTTTGCCGTTTGTGCCACTCAGACGCACACTGTGCTCACCGAGATGATGCGCAACTCCTTCTGTGGAACGCCGGGGTACATGGCGCCGGAGGTGAGCGCCGGTCGCCCGTACGACTCTAAGGTAGGCTTGTTTACGCTTGTTTGTTTACTGTCAGTTTTGTACTGTTTGCTTTCTTCATTCCCAGGCGGTTGACGTCTACGCAATGGGCGTTAGCCTCTTTGAGATGCTGAATGGCAAAAAGCCGGCGGCGCAAGGCGACCTCAGATATCGAGTGCAGCTGCCTGCCTCCTGTCGGGCCCTGATTGAGTCCATGCTCATGTCGCGCGCCTCTCGCCGCCCCAAAGCCGCCCAAGTGCTCGAAGACAAGTGGCTGACGCCCAATGTGGCGAATCGCATTGGCAATCTGCTGGGCTTCACCTGATAAGCTCACACACTCGCTCTTTACGCTTTTTGGAGAACGCTTTGTTTGCTCATCTCACTATTTTGCATTTTATTTGATCAAATAACTTTTGACTTTTGTAAAAGATGTGTGATAGCATTTGTAACAACAATTAATTGCAATAGGCTGCTTTTCTTTCTTTCTTTCTTTCTTGCAAGATCGATAACTTCTGGTTCATTGTCAGCCGTACAGCAAACAAGTCGCAGACAAATTAAGTGGGCGCTGATCGAGTTATGTACGACAAATGCTGATGCCACTTGCTGTGTGCTTGCTTGTGCACAATTGACATTGGACGCCTGTGCAGGCACAAATGTCCATCGACGAGGGGCAATCGGAACAAACAAATAGACAGACAGGCAGTCAGACTGCTGCTGCTGATGTCCATTTGGCGTCCAATCACAGGGGCACAATTGCACAAACATACTCTCTCTCTCATACACACAGTGGAGGACGATGTACTTTGTTCTCCTCGTTAGGTGTCGATCAAATGTCTAATTCGATTACAGGTGCTGCTGAAGTGCTCGATGCAGCAGTCGATTTGACTCCATTACCACACAGCGACATTATCATCAATTTCGATTGCTGATTGATAGCAGCAGCAGCAGTTTCGACTGTTCCGCATTGTCGCAGCAGTTTGCTCACATTCAACTTGAAGCACCTTTTTACTTCTTTTTTGTTTTTCTTTGTAGATGTTTAAATGTCCTACAGTTTAATATTCCATCTCAATTGACAATCGGTTGCAGGTGATATTTGTCTCTTTGTTTGTCAAACAACACTTTGATTTTCTATCATTTAGTTAATAAAAACTTGTTCTTGTGTATAAACAATTCTTTGTATTTAATTATAGGATTGAAAAAAATGTGAATATGTATGGGGAACAGATATTGCTAGAATTGCAGTGGTAATGACTAGTTCCTTTACATTGTCTATTGAATTGTCCGAATACTTTAGAGTTAGTAATAAATCAACGAGTGTATAACAGTCTATTCCTAAAAGAAAGATGTTTCTTCTTCTATATGTTCTAAGTCACCAACTAGATAAATAAAATAATATGAATGTAAGATGTGCAGATGTGAAGAGAAAAATGCTCAAGAAATGCAAAAAGAAGTTTCGTTTTGTTAACGTCTCTCCGCTACTCTTTGCCAGAACCGCTGAACTCTCTCTTACTGCGGCCATTGAAACGGGACTGTGTAGTGGAGTCGTCTTTGGAGTGTGAACGCTTCAGACTAGAGTTTCCCAACTTTACGTTGACCTTCTCTTGTTGGCTGCTAGTGCCACCGGTGGACTCCTCGTGGTCATAGTTGGACTCAACTTTGACCACCTGTGAGGCTCGCGACGATGAGGAGGAGCTGCCTTCACCTAAGGTAGCGCGAGGACTCTTGATTACCGGCATGCCAACGTCGACTTTGTCAGCTACAAAAGTGGAAAAGGAGTTTGCTTGATGACTGCTGCATTCAGTGATGGTGCTACTGTTGTTGTTGTTGTTGTTGTGATGACGGCAGGGGTCAAAGAATGTCGCCGGAAGTTGAATGCTCTTCAGGTATAAACTCTGGTTATTGGTGTAGAAAGGGAACGCTGGACGAGAGCCGCCCTGAACTATGGTCGTCCTCAAGAGGTCTGTGAAGCGGTAATTACCGGTGATGATATCGCTGCCGGTGATGCCAGTGCCTGGTCCACCCAAAACTGGACTCTTCTTTTCCTCATCACCATGACCATTTTTCGACTCGCCCCTCACCACCTCTGTCGGCGGCGGCTCCTGGTCCTCCGTCATCATCTTGTTGATGTAATGATCTCCCGCCTGACCTTCGCTGACCACGTCAATCTCCGGAGTGCTGCTGCGCCGACG